TTTGAATGGCTGCATCTGTACTTGAACCCAATAGTAAATTCATTTAATAACCTTACTTAAATAGAAAGGCAAATTAATTAAAATAATCTGTACGTATTTTACAAAATGATTTGCAATAATGAATACATATTTGAAGTAAGAGACAAGATGTAAAAAGGGTTAACTTAAGTCAGTTCTGCCTGAAAATTAGACTTCTAAGCAACAGGGGTTTATGGCAGGAAAGGGGGTTAACAGATAAGGATTCCAGATGCGAGCTAGGAACCCCCTGGGGGCGTAATCTTAAACTGACCATTTGGCCAGGGTCTCTTTACTGGCCAAATACCATGACCCCCCCTTGCTATAACACTGAATGACGTCCGAAGCAGCAAGGAAGGACTATATAACCTAAAAGTTTGTACCGGCACATCGAACAATACTTTGGTTTTGTTGTTTCTTGTGGGAAACAAGACTTCGGCTTTATTGTTCCTTGCATGCAATAAACTCATCTGTTTAACTTCATCTCGGGACCCAGAACCTTATTCTAATGGGTGGTTTGCTGTAAGCCCAGAAGTTGGTCTGGCAGGCGGTGATTCGTGGTATTGTGTACAGGCGTTTGAAACTGGTGTATGCCTTAGTTGTGCGTGGACCTTTTGGACCTTTACCGCGAAATTCAGGACTGGTGTGGGCCTTAATTGCCCCCAGAGTTCTGAGGCTCAGGATCGGTGAGGGCCTTAATTGCACCCGGGGTTCTGAAACCGAGTGGTGCATTAAATGCACGTAAAATCCAGGATTGGTGTGGGCCTTAATTGCGCCCGGGGTCCTGAGATTAGCTACGCCTTGATCGTGCAAGGATTGGCGTGGTGTGGTTTTTTGTTTCAAAGGGAACAGGAGAGAAGTAGAAAATATAAATGTATGTTTCTGGGGTTTTTCTTGTTTGTGAATACATAGCTGTTACCTCACACACGACAAAAGTAAACTCTTAAAGAGACCGAACATGTGTGCTAACTGATGGTCCACTGTCTGTTCACAAGTTACCTGGTACAGCGCCTTTGTCATGAATCGAAGGCCCGATTCTGAACCTACAGTCTGATCCAGTTCCAACCCCAGGACATTCTTCTCCCACTGGGAAATGTCAGAGAAAGAGATGTTCCTGTTGGAGGGATTCAAGGACTGGAACGATGCACAAGCTTGGGATCCAGGACTCGTTTTCTTCTCTGTAGAAGCAAAACGTGACATCTGTATATGAACAATTATATATAGTGCTATATTCAGTACTACTGAGTTTCAACTGAGAATGTTGGAAGAAAGTGAAAATTTTACTAGACCAACACCAAAAAAAACCAACAAATAAAAATAACATTCTGCTAATTTAATGTCATTTACCAAACCACTTTATACGATACGGTGTTGCAGGAAGCCAGAGCCTACCCGGCAAGCAACAAGCACAAGCCAGGGTAAGATGGCACCCACTACAGTATACTGTAGTGTCCCCGCCACTATTCTGGGGGCATTAGGACCCACACAGACCACAGGTTGGGTGCCCCCCGCTGGCCCCACTAACACCACTTCCAGCAGCAACGATAGCTTCCCAGGTACTGACCAGGCACAACCCTGCTTGGCTTCAGTGGGTAGCCAGTTGAGAGCTGCAGGGTGACATGGCTGCTGGCTTATAATTTAAAATATTACCCAAATTACATAAACATTATTTATTAATATATTAAAATGGAAGACAAAATTTCCACCATTTTTAGATTTTAATATGCACCACTTTTTTCAAAGAAATGTAAATGTATTACAGCCCATTCACAATTATGTGAATACTTTTTACACAAATGGTAATAATAACATCCGGACATGCTATAAAATGGGATGTGTCTCACAAAACAGATCTTAAATGACACAATTTCATGTGTAATTCACAATTTGTCCAAACAATTAGGTGATCAAATCCCCAGAAAAAATAATGTGGTGACAAAATAAGTACACCCCCTTAAGATTCTATAGCTGAACATGTTGACACATATTTGACCCTGACTTGGTTCTAAGCTCCAATACATGATAAAACTAACTTAATTTAACAAATCAAACACAAAAGTCCGCTTTATCATTATTTAAAAAAACATCCAGCATTCAATATATTTGTGTGAAAAAGAAGGTGCACCCCTTAATTCAGCAACTTGTGACACCCCCTTTAGCAGCTAACTTGATCTTTTTTTCCTGAAAGATCTTATCTGTCTCTGACATAGACTGGGAGGCATTCACAGAACTGCTTCAACTCTATAAGTTTGAGGGCTTTCTTGTATGCACAGCAGTCTTTAGGTCCTACCACATCATCTCTATGGGGTTTAGGTCTCGGCTTTGACTTGGCCATTCCAAAATCCTGAATTCCTTCTTTCCGAGTCATTCTGTCAAAGATTTGCTTTTGTGTTTTGAATCGTTATCCTGTTGCGTTATCCACTTTCAGTTCAGCTTTAGTTATTGGACAGATGGTCTTACATTTTCCTCTGGAAAACTCTGATATAATGTGGGATTCATGGTGGACTCAATGACAGCAAGGCATCCAGGTCCTGAGGCAAGGAATCAGTCCCAAACCATCACCCCCCATCAACATGCTTGATGGATGGTATGAGGTTTTTCTGGTCAAAGCAAGTGTTTTGGTTTTCAACAAACATGATGTTTTGCATTATGGCCATACAATTCCACTTCTCATCAATTTGCTCAAGCCCATCATACAGTCAGATATTGTAGAGCCATGGTTCTAAAGTTATGGTACGCGGGATGCCCCCAGGTGGTACACCAGATGACCCTGGAAATTTGTTGTGTGCACTGAAAAACTGGGATGGGTTTTCATATTTTCTATTTTAATAAAATTAGTTTATGTGTCAAATGCATAGCCTACGTACTACGATACAGCACGCACTAATACTTGAGAGCACACAAGAGCTACTATGTAATTCTATGCCATTGTATAGGAATGTGTGCTATGAACATAAGCGGCCAATTGTTTTTAAAAAAAGCAAATAGGGAGGTAGGAGAATGTGTGTGGTTCTGGAGCACTGGAAATCTTGTGAGCCCAGGAAAGCATGATAGATAACAGAAAGATATTTAAGGACTGTTCTAGGTTAATTTGAGAAAAATACACAGAGCATCTCTGTTTCACTCCGTGCGCATGAAATAAAATCTTATTATAACTTCTGAAACAGACTCCTGAAACGGAAACAGGGAAAAACGCAAACTTGCAGATTTGTGAAGAACGTTGCTTACCACTGGCAAAAGAGCTGACACGTATTATGTGTGGAGAAAAAGCTGCTAAACAGCTCGACCTGCTGTCCCCTTCGAAAGACACACTCATAGAATTATTGATATTGATTATTCTGTCACTTGCAGAATTGGTCCTCACACTGATTGCATTCTCATTCAATAACCTTTTTTACCAACAGGTGAGTGGAGTTGCCATGGGCACCAGAATGGGACCCAGCTATACCAATATTTTGTTGGCTGGGTAGAAGAATGCTTCTTCGCTTCCTACACTGGCTGCATCAGTGCCACCACATGCTCCAACGACCAGCTTGAGTGTTTTCTGCATCATTTCACCAACTTCCACCCGTTCCTCAAATATACGGTTAACATATCTTCCACTACTCTTTCGTTTCTAGACATCAACTTCCCCGACTCTCTACTTCGGTCTATTACAAACCCACGGATTCACACAGCTATCTCCTGTATAGCTCATTTCAACCCAAACACACTAAAAACTCCCTCCCCCTTTTCACAGTTCCTTCGGCTACGACGATTGTGCAGCGATGACATCGACTTCCAGAACCAAGCCCTCAAAATATGCTCCTTTTTCATCAACAGAGGATACCCCAGCAGTGTTATTGACAGGGCCCTTGCCCAAGCCAAAAACACCCATCAACCCAATCAGGAACTCCCGCCGTAACAACCGCATTCCTTTGGTTCTTCCCTACCACTCCAACACAGTTACTATCCCCAGGACTGACCGCCCTATCAACTCATATCGCTGACCAACTTATCTGCACAACCTTCTTGTTCACAGCTCCCTTGACCGCCCTCAGCAACCATCCACACCAGGCACTTTCCCTTGCAACAGAGCTTGCTGTATCACCTGCAAGTACACATCTAACACCACACTTATTCAAGGCCCCTCAGGACAATTCCGGACCAACCCGATGGCATCTTGTACCTCCAGCAACCTTTTTTACTGTATCTCTTGCAGTAAATGCCCAGCCATCTACAGGAAGGTGACTCGGAGACCACTTCAGAGAACATGTCAGGGCTGTGAAGATTAAAGATCTCTCCAAGCCCATTGTTTCCCATTTCACCTCTGACGGCCATGGCCACTCTAATCTCTCCGTCTGTGTTCTCAAAGATGGTTTTCCAAACTCATACATCAGAAAGACTACAGAAACAAAAATTATCCTGCAGCTAGGATCACACCTTCCCCCTTCTCTTAATGACAGACTACTTTTCTTCTAAATTTTCTCCATTCATTGGAAGTTTCAATTCACACCTTACTACACTTATTCTGACTTCACACTTCTTGATTGGCCTCTCTTTCTGTCCCCTGCTCCCACCTCTCGCTTCTCCTCTCTCCCAGCCTTCTCGTTCTCCCACTACATTACCTTTGCTTACTGCCTCGTCTTTCTCACACCTGTAGAAGGCTCCACGGCCGAAACGTTGTGTTTTCTTTCTTCTTTTTTTCAGCATGAAATAAACCTATTACTTGTTCCTTTGCAGCCTACGCATGCTGACGGAACAACCCACCTGAATTACTTATATGGCAGATGATGTCAAAAGTACGCTGATAGAGCACGTTTAGATGAGCAGACGCTTTTCACTGCAATTAGATGAGTCCGTAGATGCCTTTGATTTGGCCAGTTTGCTCGTTAATGTTAGATACCAGTTTGAGTGTATGTCCCATGAGGTCTTTCTGTTTTGTAAGCCACTACCAACAAGAACTACAGGAGAGGGCATATTTCGGCTTGTAAATGAATTTATCGAAGAGAGTGGCACTGACTGGATAAAATGCGTCGGAGTTTGTACAGACGGTGCTAGAGCAGCATCCACCGCAAGGCCTTGGCGGTCAAGAAAATGCCTGAGGATTTAAAATCTGTTAGACTCTGTTGAATTGTATCAAGGCTCGACCAGTGAATTCATATCTGCTTTGGTCGACTTAACAGGCTCACCCCTCTCACTGAAATGGTGCTTTTTTATTGTTTATTTTTAATTGTTGTTGTTGTTTTCATTCTGTAAAGGCTCTATATCAAATAACGTTTTGTTATTATTATTATATTTATTATATGTGAGTGTGTGTGTGCTCATGCTCATGTTGGTCATTGAGATTTTCTGTGGCCCCTATGAGAAGATGACTTGTAGGTGGTACTTGGATGCTTTGGTTTGATCAGGGGTGGTACTCGGTCCAAAACGTTTGAGAATAACTGTTGTAGAGAATTTGGTAGGGTGCCCTTTCCTAGGTAGACTGGCAATTGTTTTGAATTTTATCTATTTGTAGATTGTGTTTTGTAAACTTTCAAAGTCTGATAAGCAACAATTCTTTTTCTAGGACTGTGGCAAATTTATTTTGATATGGACATGAAGTATTTCCACAATCCTAAATAATTAATACCAAACTGATAAAGTTTCTGATTTAATCTGCAGGTGAAATCACTTTCTGATGATCAAATAATCACTAGTTTTGGTCTACCCGATTCTACAATTCTACAGATGAAGAACTATGATGTGCACTTACTTTTTCATAAGATATTTAATGCTGTCCGAGTTTCTAAATAATGACAAAGTACTTTTGTGTGTAGTCACAATGAGGTTAGTTGTATCTACTATTAGCACCTACGTTTTTTTACTTACTTTCACCTACTATTTACCTAAGGAAAGGTAGAATATGTTAAACCATAAAATCTTAAAGGGTGTGCGTACTTTTTCACCATACTGTAAGTATTACTGTGCTGGATGTTACAATTCTAAAACATTCTACAATTAAAAAAAAACAATCAAATTTCTTATTACTGTTGTCTTGAGTAAAACTGTAAGACAGAAAAATACTGAACATTGCAAAACAATATTATTTTATCTAACTTACACTACATGTAACTTATCTGGACTTCTCTCTCTCAATCAACAACAGCAAATGTCCTACAGAAAGTTAATTTCACTACTGTAAGACTTCACTGGATTTATCAAAACCTTCAGCAGACCTTAAAAACAAGTGGGCTAGGATGAGGCATACCTGCTGCAGATAGTATGAGATTGTAAGCAAGTGTGCATGTGTAGGAGAGTGTGTAGGAGAGAGTGTGCAAGATTGTAAGTATGTGTGTGTGTGACTGTATGTATGAACATGTGAGAGAGTACGTGTTTGTGTGTGAGCTATCGGCGAGTGGCTGCTTACGCTGAAGAGCCTCCATCTGCTCAATGTCCATCACTATTAGCTGGTTGTTATTCTCCCCTCCTGCCATGGTCAGGTGGAGGGTGTCACTCAGGGAGCTCACCAAGTCTGTGACACTCAAGAACCCACACTGGGAAACAGGTAGGTCTTCTCCAAACATTTTCTGTAAATGGAAGAAATAAAAATAGTAAGACAGGGATTATTTTAATGCCCTTTATGTTCACCAAATCAATCACAAATGTTAAAGCACAGTTTAATATGAGAACTAGCATCCATTAATGCCAATGGATCAAATGCATAGCAATAATTCAATGCATTTGCACTTTTCCACCTTTCCGTTTAAAAAAATGAAGAGCTAGAACTGGAGAATTAATGTCACTGGCAGGAGCTGTGGTGCCCTGAACAAATCCTGTGGGTACCAGAGACATGCGGCTTAATATTCTGTAGCCTGCTATTACTAATTACTTTCTTCTCCTCACACCCGCTGGAGTTTAGTTCAAGGCAAAATTAAGTTTAAAGTTTGTAAATGTTTGTAAATAATAATTTTGTGAATGTTCTCTGAAATTACCATTCAGGGAATGGGCGGTGTGGTGGCTCTGTGGCTAAGGATCTGCACCTGTGGCTGGAAGGTTGCTGGTTCATATCTAGCAGAGGAATCCTACTCGGTTGGGCCCTTGAGCAAGGTGCTTAACCCCAGCTGCCCAAGTGGTGCCATATAAATGGCTGACACTGTGCTCTGACCCCAAGCTTCTCTCCCTGACTGTGTGTCTCATGGAGAGCAAGTTAAGGGTATGCGAAAAGACAAATTCCTAATACAAGAAATTGTATATGGCCAATAAAGTGATCTTAATATCCAAAATATAAGGAGCTGTCTTGTAATTTTAGTTGCATTATCATTGTACAAAAAGCATCAGTGTAAATACTTATGTTCTTTTATAACATCAAGTAGTAAAAAATAGTACTTGGAACAGATTTCAGTGAATTATTAAAATTATTTCAGTCTTATAAGCCATACAGCCTAGGTTGCATATAAAAGGCCTCTCCCATTTATGAAGTTCAAGTACAGAAGGTAGCTGTGTCTGAATGCATAGACTGCAAAGGAACATGTAAAGATTTATTCCATGCTGAAAGGGAAAGAGAGAAGGAGATTTAACTGTAAGTCATATACTGTTAGGTTTAGACGGCACATTTAGCTCTCTTTTTCGCCTTTTAGGTGTTACATAGGATTTGAATAATTGGTAGAAGTATGGGGCTTTTGGTTGGTCAGGATGTAGTTCTTTGAGATGCCCCATTTATACATAGATTAACTTGTACATTGAATTTTGCATTGTGTTTTGTTAGTTAATAAATATCTGTTTTAATATTGGACTGATTTATTACTCTTTTCACCAAAGCTGTGCCAGAGAACAAAGAACTCTAATTATACCAACCACTCATGTATATATGTATATTTGTGACATAACTTTACAATTTGGGTGTTATGATTATTTATTTTAAATTTTTAATAAACCTGCTCGTTCATTATCTGTATTTTCTCATTCTAATCTTAATTGTATACACATCTAGTGCAGAAGGACAATTTTTCATTTTTATGTTTGGCTACATATACTGACAATATAGCTTAGTATGCGAAATTACCTTGAATTCTCCTGGAAGGCTCTGCACTAAAACACCCTCTGGCTTTTGAGAGACAACCTGTAGGATAAAAGCATATCAACCTATTTCTAAAAGAAAAGGATAAAACAAATTGCTATTAGGGCTCCCTTCCTCCATGAAAAACAAGAAAAACCTATAAAAACTTTTTCACATCATCTATTAAAAGCAGAAATAGCTAAAACAGAGGGAGCATATGAAGGGACACAATCCAATAGGTCTCTCTTAAAACCATGCCTATTCAATTACTGGAAACAATGCTTTATTTACCATATACAGATGCAGCCATTCAAAATGCGCGGTAAAAGCCCGCGGTACAGTAACCTACCCACAAGCCACCGCGGGGCACCGGAGGGTACCGCAGGGCAAGTGATTGGCTGGCCAAAATGACCGACAGGGGCACTCGTGGTGCATTGGTTGGTAGTGCAAAGATTTAATCATTTAATGTCTTTACTGTGCAA